TCTTTCTGAATGTAGAACCTCGATGAAATTTGTAAATGTCTCCACCAATGTTTCCAGCACTTGTCGGCTGAATCGCTTTCTGGATCTGTGGTAAGTCGCTCAGGTCGCATAAATTGTTCCATTCTTAATTGAATAAAATGTAATGAAAACAGGACAAGAGATTCTGTCTAGTAATCGTTTATTCAATTAAGAATACTACTACTCATCTGACTTGACAGCGGAAGTATACAGCTTTCATAGCTTGGATTATGTAAGAGGAGATAATCCATATTCACAACACCCTTCATAGGAAAAGAAAGAGAAACCCTTATACTAAAGAAGAAAATGGAAACCAAGAACAAGCCAGTGGAGGGAGATATCTCCCCTCAACAAAAAGTTCTTCTGAGTTAAATACACACTTTTATCATCACTAAAAAAGACAATAAACCCAAGTCTAAACCTATGTTCCCACTTCTCCCACTTCCAAAAAAAATCAATTCACTCACCCCCTTACCCAGTCCACCACCCATTCCTCCCCTCCCCACATCCTACCACCAACACCATCAGTCAGACTTATGAGTTCCTTGTTGGGAAGCTCAGGAGAGGAACTCCCACACACACAAAAAAGAAAAAAAAAAAAAACAATGTTAGAATACAAAATAAATACCATATTGGGTAGGATGTGTGCTGGGTGGACCTGGACATCCTTGATGAAAAGAATCTTCAGCCTCGGTGTCTGAGGAACTTAAAGGTAGATAAACTCAAAACTTAAAAAAGTAAAAGGAAAAAAGTGTAGGATCCTACTAACTTCCTTCAAATGCAGAGTGTACTGACAGTGGTACAAGTTGCTCCTGGTACATGACAAATATAAGCAATGCTGGTGGAAGTGAAAAATTCCATCAAGATGTCTTCTCCACTGGCAATATTTGAGAATGAAAAGTTTAAACTTAAACAATTTTGTTTGGGGAGGATACAAATATTTATTCACCCATCCCTATATAGTGAAACTAACATTTCCTAGGGATATCGGGGGGTTGTCCCAAGATAGCTACATAAAAACTGAAATGGATTAAGGGCTATGGGACAGGTCATCAGTGTCCTGTTCCCTGGTATGTTCATCCTAGTTGCACAATGCCAGTAAGCATCAATCATATCTCTCTGGTTAGCAAGCATAAATGTCTGAGGGTTGAGATTTGAGTCGAAAGGGCTCGGCTCACTAGGATCTCTTCCCAGCATACTTTGATAGCTACTCAAAAGGTGTTTCTTGGCTAGTAAGTTGTTCTTTGGATGCAACCTGTTCATGGATCCAGTGGGCAGATTGTGTATACTGGATGTTACCATAAAGGAGAAAGTGTTCTGACTCATTGGAGCTTATGTGTCCAATAACTTTCAGTACATTGTTCAGTTCTTGATACTGTCAAAACAGGCAGTCCTAGTGGATGATTGGAATGCCATCCTTGATCCCGATTTAGACCGTGGGAGAGCTAGGGAGGGTATTAACATTCTTTCTGATGAAAAAAAAAAAAAAACTTTTGCGAATTTGTCACCATACTTGATCTGGTTGATAAATTCTGAAATGAACATCTAAAGGGTATAGAGTGGACTTGGAGGATGGCATATGAGGGGTGCAGCTTTCTAGCTACATCAACCAGATTCTAGTTAGGAGAGTTGACATAGGACTCTTAGGTTGTCCAAGTTTTCATAGTACAGTTTATATGGACCATAAGCATATGTGGGTCCATATAAACTCAAATAGGGCTAAGCCTAGAATGGCTTGGTACTGGAAATTCAACACATCTTTGTTGAACATGAAAGATTCCCAGGACCAGCTACTCCTAATAACACAGTGAGAACAGTGAGTTCTGTGTTTGGGAATAAGTGCTGAGGACACCATTAGGTCTTTTGCTACTGATTACAGCAGATGACTCAACCAAGATAGACTAGCAGTACTAGAATCTTTAGTAGAGGGCGCTATGAAATTGGGAAATAGTGATAAGATAGCTATAGCTAAGGTGAAGCTGGCCTCCTTGCCTAACAAGAAAGACCAAGCCAAGACAAGACAAGTACTCAGAGCTAGATCAAATGGATTGCCTAGCTGATGATTTGAAATGTGCTCTGGGTCGGCAAAGGGTCTTTTATAGTGGGACTGGCTGGTTTGCCAGAATGTGTCTGGTGCAGGGAAATCGAGGAGTTTATTGTTGTACACTTGCTGTGTGAGCTTATTGAAGGCTACATGGTCTGCATGCTGCACGGACAATTCTTTGTCCTGGATGCTGGTTCTGTCTGTAGCAACGTGAGCTTGTTGTTGGATAGGAGGAAACACTATGTGTTTCTGTGCTTGCTAGCCTTGATGCAAATGGTAGTATGGATGACAAGGATGGATGAAGTTCACAGGGTATTGCCTTTCTCTTACCATCAACTGATTGCGTTCTTTCAGCACCAGCTGAAGGTCAAGATCAGGGTGGAGAGGGAGAGACTTTTTTCTGAGGACTTTGCTGAAAGATGGATGACTGTTGCACAAATGGTGCAATTGAATGGTACTAACCTTGAGTGGCATCTTGGACTGATTGATTGAAGGACTTGTTCTTCCGAGAAAAACATGTCCATGCAACCCAGTTAGATTAGAGTAGGAAAATTTTTTCCTTTTTGTTTTCTCTAAAAATTGGTTAACTTAATGAGGGAGTGAACAGTCATTGGACAATTTTCTTTTTTTTAGTCCCCAACATTTTCATTCCCCCCGTCCCATTTACTTTTTAGGTCACAGAAGGCATAGTTCTCTGAAGTGGTGGGAACATTTTGTTTTCTGTTTATTTTACTTTATTTTATAGTTTTCTTTCCACATGTTCTCACTGTATTTTTTCCCAATTAACTTGTTTTTTTTTTTCCATATTTAGACGTGAGAAGGGTCCCATACTAACATTTTTGTTTACTTATTCATGCTAATCATAGTGTTATTTTATGATATTAAAATAAAAGCATGTTGTTCATCCACACCCACCAGATGTTTGTAAAAATTGGGGTATTAGTTTAGGACCTAAACTTTAGGTATTCATGGAAAGAATGCATTGTTTTGGTGATTGTGGCATATACGTGTTTTTTTGGGTTTTTTTTTTATTTTATTATTATTGCTATAAATGTGGTATTATGGTGAAAGGATGATTACGTCAGTGAATCTGACTAAAGTTAAAATTTAAAAACAGTGATGACCAGCTTTTACCCACTTCTCATTTTCGGTCTTATGTATTTTATTTTTACATAAATAAATATTCAGTCATTACCCGGCGTGAAGGAGAATTTTGTGAGACGAGCTCGAACAGTTGCTGTATCGAAGTTTATCCCCTCAAAATCTTACAGAAAACTAAAACATGATGAAACAGCAGGCAACAGAACACGTCACCTACGGACATGTGAAAAAAACTAACACAATACTCAAAAAGTCAAAAACCACCAACCAAAGAAAAACAGAGGCATACTATTATTAACCCTCAACAATTCCTTTAAGAACTCATGAAATCTAAAAGTACTCAGAAAACACGAAACAATTTCTGTTCAGAAACCAAGAAAATAGTTCGAATTAAGAAGAAAAAAAATCTTAAAGAACCTTCGTTGGCCTTAGCCTAACCACACACCAAAACGCAAATTCGAGACGAATTTCGGTTTTATTTTTTTTTAAATTTAGTATAAATTTAATATTCTGCCATTTTCAACAAAGCTTTGTTTGAAGTTTGAAATGTGACACTAAACAATAAATACTGGAGCTTCTTTCTTTCTTTCCTTTCTTTATTTTATTTTTTAGTTAAACTAAAGTTAAGTTAAAGAAGAATATGGTAAATTTCAATTGCTTTTTGTTGTTAAAAATAATTTTATGTTCATTTAGCCATTTTTTTTTTGTTTTTCTGTATTCGTAAAAAGAAAAAAAAAAGGATTTTGGTGAAGCGATAAGCTACATAAGATCTCTATCCATCAGTTAAAAAAAATCTACCCTAGACATTGACGAATCTAGACGCAGGTGAGAGGGACGTTTCGGCCTGGGTGGTATTTTTTTCCCTTTTTTTTTTTTAGAAAGGAAATTAATGAAATAGCATTTCGTTGTAAAGAAAGTAAATGTTTTCAAGTTTTAAAATGTTGCTTAGAAATACGACAAAGTACGAATTTTATGACTGTCTAGGGTGGCACACCAAAAAAATACGACGTACGCCGCTGATCCTAGATAACTTGCTTTGAATGCTAACCATTTTTTAGTTAGATTTAAAGTTAAAAGCAAAATTTAAGCAGAGATTGAAAACATTAATGATAGAAGATACAAATTATTTTACTTAGACTAGTGTCAAACTATTTGTTAATCCAGTAAATCAAAATTAACTGTTAGGGGCCTATTTGATCCCAGATAAAAGTCGAAATGTCAAAATCTGATTTTTAAGGTAAGCAGATCCATCGTACTTGAATGAAGCTTTTACCACCATCTTCCAACATTTGACCTTAAAAATTAGGGGTTAAAATCTCTCTAAAACACGAGCATTGGCAACTGGTAAAAAAATAAAATGAACTACACATAAAGAACGAAAACATGACTTACAATCTCTTCTTAAATATTATTTAATAAATTAATATTTAATAATACATAAATAAAAAAAATAAATTACCAAACAAAAATTAAAATTTTTAAGTATAAAAAACATTGTAAAGAAACTAATGAAGGAATACAATTCTACTTTATTGTTAAAGCAGCCATTCAATTTTTCTAGCAAATAACATTTTAATTTGTATTTAATTTCGATAATCAACAAATCTAATTTTGTAAGTCTTTAAAAAAGGGCGAAGCATGAAATTTAATAAACAAAGTAAAAAACGTGTTACTACGTAGGCCATTTTTCACCTGGAAAGGGCAAGAAGAGCTCAAAATATAAAATATGGTTAATCCTCGTATAATTTAAAATCTTTTATGTAAAAACTGTCTACTAAATTTTATCTATAATAAGACTGTTTTTATTTATTTTTATTTTTTACAGATTTCTTCTTACCGTATTCACTCGGTGCTGTGTCGGGCACATAGGTAAAAGTTGCCATTTGTGCACGCGTTAATTTGGACGGCATCTGACCAGAAGAAAAAACATTTCTTTTAAGAATCCGTGTGGCACAACGGGCCAAATGCTTTGTGATGGTCAAGAAAGACATTTTCAACTTGAGAAGAGAAGATTGTGTAGCTCAGTCTAGGAAAGAAGACTGATAATACTTATAATTGGCACAACCCAAATAAGTTGTCCTCCTCACATATGGAGGTAAATGTTATGAACACCATCATACAACTTTAAAAGGCAAACAAGAGTCTTCTCTCGATAAATACTTAGTTTATTTGAAAAAATATACGATAAAATAAAATGCGATCCATATTGAATTGATTAAAGAAAATCTATTAGGACAAAATATTAAAAAAAAAAACAACAACAATCAATTAATAAATATTATTATTATTACTGACGATATACATCTGTAGTTGAATACAACCACGTTGAGTTTACTGTGCTTAGCTTAGTTTGGCACATGGTCTCAATAAAGGCGCACGATAAATGCTTAGTTTAAACTGCGTTATGTATATCTAGTATTATCTATAAATTATTTAGGGGAAAACACATATTCGGAGCTAATCCAATCTTGCTTAAGCTGATCCATATAAGTGTAGCCTTATGCCAGACTTGGATTAATTTAATGTTCAAGGAACTCTTAAACTTCAGTATACGTGAAATGTTTTATTTTTATAATTTTTTCAAATAAAAGTCGAAAAAATCTAAAAAATGTCAATTTTGTACGGAACATAAAAAAATAACAAAGTAGTAAAAAAAAAAGAACGATTACAAAAATTTAGTTTAAAGTAAACTTGTTGAATTGAAATTATTTTTGCGTAAACGAAATTGGAAAAGAAACATTTTCTAAACTTTTAGTGAATTAATTTTCCTTATAACTTTATTTTAGATTCGTGAGTTCATTATTTGTTGTTTAGACAGGGAAAAATGACAAGTATCTAGTTCTCGCCCCTTTTCTTAAATGAAAGAAAATCGTGTTCGGGTGAAGACCATTCTTTATTGTTGTTTAATGATTGTTGGTTCGTGTATCTAACTATCACATAATGCGTTTGCACAGTATTGTCTCATGTTGTAAATGAAATCACGAAAAAGCATTTCATTTTTAGTTTCTTCTCTTGTTTCCCCGCCTGTGTCTCAAGGAAATAATCTTTGAACGCTAATAGCCACCATCTCGAGGATTGAGTTTGTGTTGTCATTGTCAAATTAGTGGGATTTCCAAAGAATCTCCAAGAAGTGGTCAAACATGTCTGAGCGATCTTTGGTGGAATATTTTGCCGAACATGAAAATTATCATTGCGGTTATTGTAATTCTCCTGATTCCAACAATTCGCATGGCAAGTAGCCAAAACTTTTATTTCTTTCAAAGATAACTCATTTTAGTTTAAACAGGTATTTTATTAGAGTAAGACGAAGAAAAAAGTGCATTTATTGTTATTAATGTTAACTAGACAAAAAAATCAAGCTCTTTTTTTCCGCATATTCACTGACAATTTTCTATTTGAAACCATTTTTTATACTTTTTAACTTCCTTTGCTCTTAGTTTTAAGTTTTATAAATTGAATTTGCGTTAGAAGAATTGCTCCCCCCCCTATGCATTTATTATTTAATCAAATAATGAAATGACATTTTTTAAATGGTTACTTTTTTCAGTTTTTTCTCTTTACTTGTAATTAAATGTATTTTAATTAAAAGAATTAAAAAAAAGCGAAAGAGTTTAAAAATTAAAAGTTTCATATTGTTTGATTTTCGTTGTTTTTTTTTTTTTGTTTCAATGGTTTTACTTCCTCTTTCTTTTCTGATCTGCAAACAGAAACTGTTCGGTGTTCATTCAATGTAACTCGCACCCCGCCCCACCAAAAAAAAAAAAAATAAAATAAATTCTTTTTTTATAAGTTTTAATCTTTTCACGAAGAAATGTGAAATAGTCATTAAAAAATTCCTTTAAAAAATCTTTTAAATTTTATTTTCCTCTGAATAATCCTTTCCCGGATGTTTTTTTTTCTTTAGAAATGAAAAATGACACTTAAAACAGTGTATATATTCTAAAAATTTTTTTTTGTTTATTTTATTTCTTTTTACTTTTTTTTTATAAGCTTGAAATTATTTATTCTTCTAACTAACAAATGCTTTTACTTTTTTTAGTTTATTTAACAAAAATAATTTCTTTTTCGTTATAACTGATGAAGGAGAGATGGTGTATGATATTTAAAAAATGGATATAATTTTCTTTATTGTTTTAGTTTTAGTGGTAGTCTTGAAGGTGTGGTACTTTTTGTTACCATGTTGATTGCATCATTGCTGAAGTTGTAAGAAATGAAAGAAATAATGTTTTTTAACTAAGAGAGATTCTCATTTCTTTCATAGTTGATACAAGACATAATTGTATGTATAATGATGCAAGCTACATAATTAAATTGTATGTAGATCAAAGTGGTTAAAAATGGAGATAGCTATTAGTATTATATTTTGAAAGACTTTTGTTTTTTTATTTTTTTTCTCTATCTTCTTTTTTTCATTAGAAAATTTAGAAATACAAGCTTCTTACAAGACTTGAATGATGAAAAATAAAATAAAAAGTCATGTTTAATAACAAATTGGCAGCAGCATCAATAAAAATAAATGTCAAGAATATTTTTCCGCAAATAAGCAGACAATTGGGAACTTTATGAAGCTTTATTTTCTTAATTGAAAACTAACATTTTTGTAGAGATTCTTCTTCCATTCATTCAACTGAAACATGTCATTGAAGAATGTCCTCAGCTTCTGTATATTTTTGTTGTTTCTATTGGGATAGTTTGATTTATGAAGATTTTTGAAATAGTAGCAAGCCAGAAACAAATAAGCTGAAACTTGATGTGATCCATGCACATATTCGGTAGCATTAAGTATTCAATTGTCATTCACTGAAATTTGTAAGAAGCCTATTGAAATAAAAACTTCGACATGTAAGAATACAATACTCGTTTGGCCAAAAGTCTCTAATTGACATTTTTTAGCAATCTTTTTTGCAATGAAGTCAATTGGAAGACAGACGTTATAAAATTACTGTGTATAATTTGGTTGTTATTCGTCTTTTTGTATGAATATGACTGCTGGGTGGGCACAATTTGAAGAAAAAGAGAGGCCTTTTTTATTAATAAATAAATACTTTACTTTTTTCTACATTTTTATTTTATTCAATATGTTAGCAAATGAAACGAGTCTAAGAAGGATGATCACAATTTTATTATATTTTTTTCAGTTTGTGTAAAAATAAAATATTTATCTTTCTTTTAGGTATGTGGGCGCATATCCTGACTGTGCAAGATTACCAGGATTTGATAGATCGAGGCTGGCGACGGTAGGTTCATCATAGTTATTATTGTTCATTTAAGTTTCATATTGTTGTGGTTAACCGTTAAATCAAGGCAATAAGTTTAAAAACTTCCTCAAAAACGCGATAGGTATGTTCAATACTTCGCTAAAAAATTAAAAAAAAAGAGCATATCGTGATGAAAAAAGGTACTAAACTTGATTAAACAATTTCTTTTTATAAAAATGTTTATTATTAAGAGGAAAGACCAAAGTATTTTAAAAATTTTTTAATCCTTTCTAGCACGTCCGAAATTTTAGCTAAAAATCTTTCTCTTTATTTTTTTTTTTTCTTTGAGTCATCAAAATTGTCGTAAAATCAATTATGTCTGCTATTTGACTGTAAGCTGGGATTGCAAAGGAAATGTTTGTCGCAGATTATTTCCACGTCACAGAGAATAAATCACTAAGTTCAGAATCGGACATCAGGGACAGAAAAGAAAATGCCGAAAACTCGATTCGCAGGTACTATCTCACAAATCACAATGCACGCAACCAGTCAGAAAAATAACTCATTCTCCAATAAACGCAGTAGCCAAAATACCCGAATTTCTCCCCGATTCGAGAACACCAACTGCTTTTATCGGCCGAGCATTTTTTCCATTCGTTGACAGCTGGGAGAGTATGTTCAGTATTTTGCATATCAAAATACTTTTATGGCGACTCCTGCGACAGACTTGTTTTTTAATTCAAATATTCCATCTTCAGCGTGTCATGCAGAATACGTGCCCTTTTGTTTGGTAAGTAATTTTCTTTTTGCCACCTTTTTCTGTCGTAGAATAATACATGGCGCACTGTCACTTGGTTTGACGAGGTAAGTCGCCGTTTTCTTCACTATAGGTCCCTTAATTCACTGTAGGAATAGCACAATCAACAGCCAATGGAGCAAAAACTGCTCTTTTTCTTCCTACAAACAAAATACAGTTAAAAATGGTCCTTATTTAATGGGATACTTGTTTCCTGAAAAAACACTTCTCATCAGGTTAAATATTTCTTGAGTAGCAAAACATTCTAATTTTGTTTCTTAAACAACTTTTGGTATATTTAATTTTCAAAAAACGTTGTTCACAAAGCATATATTCTGTCAAATAATGAACCATGATATTCCCGGAAAGGATATATTTGTTTCAATGACAAAGTGGTTGTTTTACTGTAACCGGGCATAGGACAATCTAGTAGGTAATTTAAGGACTGGTACTTGTCCATCATGTGCAATCCAATAGGCATATGGAATAACACCAGACAATGTGGAACCAATAGGCGTCCTCATGTACCTCCACATCAGTCTGTATTTATGGCTGACACAGCCAATCATATTACTGTGAGGGGTAACTCAGGTGTTTACATATTCATTACCTCAGATACCATCATTTTGTATTATTAAATAGACTTTATATTTTCCACTTGGCAAAACATATTTCTTGTAGAATTCAGCAGTGGATTCAAAATTAAATTTCGATTTCAAAAATTTGTCACATATTTTGATGAGACTTTCCATAAAATAATTAGATAGGAACATAGGTGTTAAGTTGACAGGCTGAACAAAAATCATTTGGGAAATGACTAAAGGATCTTAGTGTTAAAATAAAAAGTAACAATATTTAAATGATTTTAAATCATTTCACCCCTAAACAAAAAAAAAACCACTAAGATATAAGGGATTACTGAGTCTGAAAGAATATGAAAAATGAAAAACATTATTAAAGAGACAGAACAATGAAGAAGATAAAAAATAATGATTGA